GAATAAGCCTCCGACGAAAGTACATAAGACTGGAAACTAAGCAGGCAAGGAAGAAGTAAGTGAATGATTCACTGATGATCTTGAATCAAAAATCTATGTTGGCGCTTTTTTCGCGTCCTACATTCACGATTCAATTTCCCCATTTTGGTTTTTTGATTTTTGCCTCTTCATGTTTTGATTCACAACTCGTATAAATAATCGTCTCTTCCTGGTCTGTCACACTAAAATCAAAGTGTGGCTCACCGAAGCGGATGACAATGGTTCATATCGGGAAAGTTAACATGATTATTACTGTTGGCCCATCATTGCTGCTCGATACTGAAAGACTTACTGATATTCTGACTTTGAGTTATTGACGGAGTTGGAGCTCGTCTGAAATTCGGATATTAACAGGAAAAATTTGAATAATAACAACAATTACTAGCCATTCCATCTCATAAATCCCATCTTTCCAACCTTTGGAAACGACAACAATAATAAGTTTCTACCAGTATGCCCAATGATTCATCTATCCATTATTCTATGGATCCAAGACACTCAAGCTACTAAATCCATTTCGAGAGTCTATTAACAAAGTCAAAGATACCCACCCCCCTTGCCATTGAGTCATTGGCCATGGGAAAATTTGTCTCTATAAAATCTTGTTCGAGGAAGCGTTTATATAACCAATCAAGAGAGCTACTGATCACATGATAACATCTTTTGTACACCCGAAACGGAAGCAGCTGAAGGAATGCAATAAGTCACAATCAACTGCTTGGGAATAACTTCTGCTATATAAAGACTATCCACCCACTACCTGCGAACCAGATGAACAGCATAGCCACCAGGAATCAGATATACTCACCGATAGAATTATTATCCGTAGTAGGGTAAAGGCCTGGACACTGCACGTTAATTGTAAGCTACGATCTAAAAGAAACAGATTGTTAAATTTCTGGCTTCAAATTTTCTACCTCCAGTTTGGTATTAAAATCACCAAGATCAACCGTCTCGTTAAAGACATTGAAGATGATGATGGTATTTACTGGGTGCAAGAAGTGGGAGAGAAGAAAAGGAGATACCTTATAAATCAGATAAACGAGGAGAATGCTGGTATAGAAGAGTGATGAGTGAATACATACGCAGACTTTGACTTTTCATAGATGATTCACATACCACGTAATCTTCGCCCCCACCACAAGCCCTCGTTTCCTTCTCCGCTTTCTATTTTCTGCCTTCGAGATGAATGATTATCTCATCGAGTAGTATATAAACACCAGGTCTTTCAAGATTAAACAGCAAAGAAGTACGTAAAGAACTCGAGAAAAAGATGTGGAGACTTCGAGTATACATCAAACCCTAAATTATAGATGGTGTGACGTTCAAAATTGGACGTTCTCATAATCGTGCATTGAGAGTAGAGTAATCTTTATATAATGAGCTCAGCTAAATATAGTATAGAGTGACAGTAAATAAATTCTACGATTACATTTGAATATTCGAGTAGTGACAGTAAATACTCAGGTGCCGTCGTCAACTTCCCTTTCTCTATTTTCGCTCCATATATCCTTCCACAATCCTGGCTTGTCGGTTCTTCTACGAAAGAAACATAGGTGCTAGCTATAGGAGATATAGCACATGCATCCGCTGTAATATTTTTCAATGTTTTTGTTAACGCGTTGTATATTACAAAGACGTGAAGAGATACAGAATTTATATACCTCTCACCTCCTCTCTAGCCTCTGCTCCGGTCTCAAATATAGACGTCACGTCAAATGTAGATAAAGAGGAGACCATGAACTCACAATAGGTAGACACACCAACTCCTAATCAAGCATCTCAAAAACAAAAAAGTGAATTATCACTATCCTCTCTAACTTTCATCCCCAACTAACTCCTCCATTTTTAAATTCTGATCCGGATATAAAAGTCTCCCTTCATTCCTCGAAGGGTTTCTACAGACCTACGCTAGACTTCGACGTGGGCGGAAAAGGATTCTGACCAAGTCGCAACCCTCAGAGCAATACTCTGGTTATCTCATTGGCACTTGATTGACACAACTCTCCAGATATCAAGACCAATCTCGAGGGAATACTAAATATAAGTGGCGAGCCAGGATGACAATGATGATAATCGCCAGCAACAATTGAAATATAAAATCAGCAACCAAAAGAAAAAAGACAGAACAATGATAAAATCCAAACGACACAAGTCAGTTTATCAAACAGACGCAATTCATTTTCGTTATGGTGGCAAGTGGATCGAGTAAGTCAAAGACACAACACAACTGCAGTCGAAAATTTATCAAAGAAAGAGTTCTGTCGGGCTCATCTCAGACCAAACTTTGTGCATTGTACCGTATCAACATCCCAAACCCAAAAGCTTTGTACCCACCATAAGATAAAAACAAAACATACACTCTCATCAAATCCACAAGTGCAACGAAAGGAGTGCATGACCCAACGACAAAAGTGAATACATCCACATACACCTCGCCAGCCATACAGAATAAGAAAGAATCATCCCTCCCTCCCATTCACTCCCCTCCTCTCTATCTCCTATCTTAAAAATATCACTTCATCCCCGCACTTCAAGTATACTGCTGATATTGAGCCAATATCCAACCAATGTCCAGCCAATATCCATTTACATAACAAACTCTTCCCGCACCCATCATTTCCTCTCATCAAATCGAAATATATCGAGAAACGACCTGAGGATCTCATACGCCAACCACTTGTTATGAATACTGATCTCTTCCCATCCGCCCATTCATCCTATCATCCTACCACCAATCCCAAGCGATCAAAAAATAGTAAGAAGTAAATGTTGGCATTATTATCATAAAATCCAGAAAGAAGACATTCAAGATAAAACATGATGAGAGGAGAGGAGAGGAGATGAGAAAGGATATACAAACAACACCTAGTAGAAAGTCTTGTATATATACATGGGAAGATACCTCCCTACCTAGAGAATAAGATTTCGGGTAAGATGAAAGCGATAAAAAGATGATTAAAAAACAGACTTGTCAGAATAATTCTGTTTCGATCGATGGCCGCCCAACTCAACTCAATACGATCAATCAAAAAAATCCATCCTCCATTTTTCAGAGTCGAAAGGAAAAAACACTCACCTCACCTCCCCCCGTCTCTCTCTTCCTTCCTTCCTTCCACCACACCACACCACACCACACCACACGACCCATCAAACAATCCCCGACCCCATACCCACCTCTTCCCATCCAAATAACCACTCCAATTCTATTTCCTCCCTTCCCTCCCACCAAAAAGATCTCTCACCCCCCACCTCAATTTCCCTCTCCCTCTTCCTCAATCAATCACCAATCACCAATCACCAAAGCAAATATCATACACCCATATAACATGTATACCTACCCAGATACATATAGGAAGATAGATACTGGGAATCGAAAAGGAAGGACGAGTACATAGGTAGATGAATCCATCTCTGTGAGTCAGTAAATATCTTGATGCCTAGTATAGTTATACACAAGAAAGAAGAAGGATGAATGATCAAAGACACCTAAGTAAATGCAAAGATGTTACCTATTCATTGACGTACCGTACCTACAAAAAAAATGAATTCCACAAACAAGTGATCGAGGTACAAATACCTAGCCACTTGATAGCATCAACCTTTTATATATCACAAGCACTCAATCAGAAACTCCACGATATAAATTTTTAACTTGTTTTTTTTCATTTCATATCTTAAGTATCATCTCTCAGCACAGTTTCTTTTTTCAAGAATACTCATGAGGAATAAGTAAAGCAGTAAGTAAGTAGAAAGTAGTAGTCTCATCAGCATGTGACAAAACTCTACACCCATTTGGGGTTGCAAATACGTCTCCACCTCCATCTCCATTTTCCTTCTCCCTATTCCTAGTACTCCAAACACTTATACCGTTAAAATAAAAGTAAGTTTCTTTCAACCCCAACGAAAGTAGCAGAAAGCCAAGCTACTATATCATCTTCCAACCCATCAACTCTATTATGAGAAAAAGGTATAAGTTTTTTCATCCCTTATTCATCCATTTATTCCACACCCTATATTCTGGCAACCCTTAATGTCAATCATTATCTCTTAACAATCCATCTGTATTTCTTTTCAAAAGCAACGAGAAAAAGCAAACAAGCTTAACTTTGCGAATACACAAATAATTGTCAAACGTATCATTAGAAAGGAGTAAAGCTCAAGATCCAGACGCAAACGATTTGTTGATTGATGGGAAATATTAAAGGAGTTTTAGTGAATATCGGTCTATGGTGAAAATAGTCGAAGGAATTGAAAGCAAATCGAATGTTTCGAATCCTTAGAAGTGAGGTGCATGTGCATGTCCATGTGCATGTGTATGTTGTATGTACGATGTGGAAAATTTCCAGAGTTAGAAAACTTTGAGTTGATGTAGAGAGTATTGAAACATTCTTTAGCCGATGACAAGACTAGAAGTTTGCTTCTTTGCAAAAAGGAAATGTGATAACGTCATCGTGTTTCGGCCATTTATGGGTCGTTCTCATGGTAATAAAAAAAAGGTTCGTGTAAAGAATGTTGTGGTCCGGGATTCCTGATCCAAGAAAGGTTTGTTTTTCGCTGTATCGACTCGATGATCGATATTAAAAAAGGACTCGCTGATAACTCAAAAAGTATGTCGAATGCATTGTTTAGGTTAGAGCCTAGACAATGAGAGAGTGTGTGACAAGCAAGACACAGGAACTCTTTAGATGCACGCCAATACGCCAGAGCAAATTTGTTTGATATAGAAAAACTTTCCGTAAAACCTTTCGAAGATGAAAAACGGACGACTGAAGGAAGACTCAACCGAGAAATTAGAAAATCGGTGAGTAATTGTGGAAAAAAAAAAAACAGGTCAGGGTATCTAGACGACCTGTTGTAATGAGTGTCGGAATCTGTTCCGAACTTGTAAATACCAAAAAAACTCCGAGTGAAAGAATGCAATGCCATGCTAAACGCCAAATCAGATTCAAAGGTATTATTTAGTATGAGACTTGTCTTCGTGGGGTGCCTCGGTCGTAAAATATAGGAGAGCTCATCATAGGGGAACTCGTCATTTCTGTCGTTAACATACTGCCACTCGATTTTGATCGACTGGGTGCAGTAGGGCTATCATCAATTTGTCCGTGTTGGCCAATGGCATAAGTGTGTGCTCTGCTGAGCTTGGTTCTATTTTGTCGAAGTCTTCCCATTTCTCGCTCACATGTGTAAGCATGTTCCTTAGCATCCATTTCAACGTAATTCTGGGGGAAGCAACGGCCTTGATGTTCTGTAAAGAAAGCACTGTAACCACCATCCAGGATATACACTTCAGGATAAGAAAGCTTTGGGTATTGTTCGACGTTAGTAGTACGATCTTGCTGTCGTACGTGACGAGCCATTATGGGTGCTCGATGTGCGGAGTATTCGCAATGAAAAATTAGGAGGGTTTTGCCAGGGATATTTTCTTCAAACAATTGACTGGTCAATAATTCTTTGTCATTATAGTTGACAGCACCATCGATATGTCCACCCTCGTATTCATATTCGAATCTGCAGTCAACAATCATTCGTTGGTCATATTCATCATCGTATTTTCCATCAAGAATCTCCAATAAGGTCTCCTTGGCAATTCTAGGAATGCTATCAGGCTGACCTTCTTGGAAAAAGTGTGGTAAGATTGGTTGGTGTATTTCATCAATATCCATGACGGTTTCCAAGTTGCTCGACGTATTTCCCTTTTCCTTGACAATATCTTGTGGGCTCTCAAACATGCTGAGGGATCGTCGAAATTGTTTCCTAGGCCGAACTAACGGATTGGAAGGTCTGCGGGAGTGGCTGCCAATTGGTGATCCATTGACGACTCTGCTTGACACACTTGAGAATGGTCTGCTCAATCGAGGTGGTGGTGCCATGATTCCAGCCGCAGGACGTTCAGGACGTTCTCGTGGTGGTGATTCCATGAAACATTCGCCCAATGACATTGACGTAGAGGTAGACAACTTGCTGTTTCCAGCACCGAAGCGGAAGGGAGGCAATTGACTGTCTGCGTTTTGTCGAGGAAGGGAGTTCGTCGTGAAACCCTTGGTACGTGAGAGGGATGGTCGTAATAAACCATTTTTGCGTCTTCTGTAGCTTGTATTAGTATGATAATCTTTGGGATGTGTAATTTGCACTTACTCAGCACCAAAAGGTTTTGGGGCGTCCAATAGACTGGAACGAATTGGAGATGACCCCATAGCTGTATCTTCCACTGGTGTACCTGCTGGTGTAGGTGAAGCCATCTCAATTTGCGCAGAGAAATATGGTTGCTTATGAGGAAGAGGGGATATATCCATTCTTTCATTCAGTGGACCTGGTGAGGAGGAAGGTAAAGGAGGAGTAGTAGCACAATCTATATCTTGTTAACATCTCCAGTCATATCTTCCTGCAGATTAACTCTTACCCCTACCATCCAATGTCCCAAAAAGGTTCGATGTGAAGAGAGATCGACGAGGAGTTGGTAATTGGGGGCTGTAAGTGATTGATGTCAGTAAAAGATCCATACAATGAAGAGGTTTGAATTGCATGTACCTCATATCAATGTGAAAGTTTTGAGATAAATCTGCCGCCAAGCTTGCTGTAGGTGAAGAACCACGAACAGGCTTAACCAAGAAGTAATCTGCTTTGGCAGAGTGCTTCATGCTCAAATCCCGAAAGTCGAAAGCACCTGGACCGAAAGAATTCGCAGTGACGTTTGACATATGTGCGTGTGGGTGAGAGGCATACATATCATTTCTAGCCCAAGCTGGCATAAATGACGAAGGCTGCATTGCAGCTATGGGTGAAGACTCCATAATGAATGGGATGTGGAATTAAGAGGTGAATTGACTACTCTAAATTATACTATCAATTGAATTGATTCAACAGAAGTCCACTGCAGGGAAGATCCGTTGATGTGATTATAAATTGTAGTATAAATGTAGAGAGTTCCGTGATCAGATTGACGGCAAACAATCAAATGGGGAGGATATTCCCAAATGTCGTTGCTATACAAACTGCGAACAATGGTAGAATGCTGCTGGTTCACGAGGAGCTGTAGAGATCGAGAGGTTGTCCGATGGGAATTACTGGAATGCTTGGTGCATTGAAACCTATCGGGTTGATTGTATTGCCTTTTGGTATGTGCTTTTCGGTCGATGATTGAATTTGGTGGCTTAGACCGGTTTATTACTCGAGTATCGGGTCGTGATTAAGGTCGAGAGATCAATTCGTCGGAAGAAGAGGTCGAATGGTAGGTTCGAAGGATGGTCGGCCCTGGTCGATGATATATCTCACATATAAAAGAAAGGCTGGTGTGGGGGAAGTTGACCTTTTCTATTTTTCTTGCTCCCTTGGTATGTTTAATACCACGACGGAATTATCGTAAGGGATCTTTGGTTTGGTGGCGTCCAGTTGAAGAAGACGAACCTAAGGGGATCAAAGGAAAGGAAAGGGAAGGGAAGGGAAGGGTCGACGGTCGAAAGTTAAAAGGGTTAGTAGTCGTGATAGTAAGAGAAAAGAGGAATTTAGAAGTGCGAATTGGTTGAAGATAAATGAATTCGATTCAACTAAGGGTTTATCCAAGCAAACAAGAAAATCGGGATTTAGTGGTATCAATTGGTGTCGCCAGTGGAGTTCATTTTCTCATTACAATTATATTCCTTGGATGGTCCTGTCGCTCTGGTGTTGTCAGGGAGATTAAAAAAAAATGAATATATTTCGTTTCCTAGGTAGCTAGGTAGCTACTTAGACGAGACGAGGTGAGGGGATACCAAGAAAGGTACGTACAATGTCTAAATGCCTAGGTCTGTTCTACACTTTGCTGTCTCTCATCCCCTCTCACTATATTTTCTTCTCTTATTATAGACAAACTATAACCACAATCATACTAGACGTGCTCCGTTTTAAACCTATCTTGATTGGCTTCTTGTCTATTCATTACTTATACGTGCTATACGTGCTATACCTGTGATGCTTGCCATGCTTGCCATGCTTGCTAACTTTACTATCCTAATCCTAACCTTAACCCTCTAATTATTTTTCTATTTCCTAATATATCGTGATCCTCACACATGAAGCGTGGGCTGTCGTGAAGTGCTAGGGAAGTGGGTAAAAAGGTTCAAGGTACCTAGTCGGTAGCTTTGGTGGGTTCAAAAGTATCCAGGTCAAACCACTCTCTAACGAATAGCACGATAGAATTGACCTCTTTCCTGCTATGGACATGCCCCATGGAAGCCAAAAATCGACAGTATTACGAATCTGGTTAATGCCAACCTGGATTTAGCTTTGTCTCCTGGCTGCGGGGATCTGCTCGCGAACTGGGCAGTAAAGGGTTGGAACTCGTCGTACAGGACGTGATAGAAGGGAAGAGGAATATTTAATCTTTACTTCTTCGAGCTAGGTCAGCCATCAACCACAGCAACCAACTAAAACATAGCTACTCACCTAGTCAGCTTCTAGCCTTGCTGATGGGTCTACGCCAACTTACTTGGTACCTTGCTTTTGATGGGGTTCCATGGATCCATGGATCCATGAATCCATCGGTTCTAAGAATCCTTACCTAGTTCGCAGAAAGAAAAAAAAAGCGAATAGCACCAGAGGACAATGAGTTAGGACTCCAGAGGTGGATGGGTGGGCTGTTGTCGTGCGGCGAAGGAGCGGAGAGTATCAAGCACTATGGATTGGTTCATCAAATACACTCCGTCCGTACGGTTGCTGAGTGAGAAATAGACATCAGCATGGGTTGGTTTATGCTCTGCAGGTGACCTTGAGTGATATGCAGCTGGGTATTTCATATGGATCAATTGTACACAGAAGGTTATGAATCAGATATGTAACATTTAGATTGATGATGTCGTTAGAAGTGCATCGAGATGGTTTTGATAGAAGTATAATTGATGAGATGATATTGATCATATTCAATACCGGTACGTATAGTGGCTTCGGAAAGCAATGAAGGGATTACCATGGTAGATGTGAGATGAAGAAGCAAAAATGATGGTATGTGAACAATGTATAATCTCTCCAAGTGTTATAACTCACAGAGATGCTGGGTTCTGATGCCAATTCTCGTTCTTATCACTAGCTGATATCACAGATTCTACCCACTCGTTATCCTGAATTATGAACATGACATTCTGATATTGATGGGGAAGAGGATACTACCTAGGTAGGTATCTCGATAGAAACACGTTTCGTTATCCCATCTATCTAGGTATATCCATTGAGACAATTCCATCAATATCAATATCAAGATTCAAAATCCGATCAAAGCCATCCATCTATTCGTTCATCCATACCTTGAATATCATTTGAACAATGAATTGATCAGTCAAATGTGCAAGCCAAACAACCATTGCCCGATTAAGGAAATTCTAGATGCAAAAGCGTAGCAAAATGCACAGGGCATTCACAAGGTTTATGAAATTTAAGCTTTTGCGTCTTAAGTTTCATGCATTGATTACCTAGATAGTACGAAGTACATAGGTCGTAGCTATATCTAGTAGGCTCGCTCGCTCGTAGCTCTCAATGGCATCACGTTATCTATCCTAGCTTCTTTCCATCTTTGTATTGGTCAACGGGAATATCTTCCCGCTTTGGTGTTTATACATCGTGCTCAGATTTTCACTTTACACAATTTCATTCGTTCAATCATTCTTTTGTTCTTTCGTACATATCCAGAGTTTATACATCACAATAGTGGGCGCGAAAACAAAGCGTGAAAGTAAATATTTACCAAAACGCGTCTCCCCTCAATTACAAACAACTTTAAATCATTTAGCCTTATCATCAGAGGGTCACCTGCATGTGCCCAGGTGCTCTTTTGTTCCCGATATCTCGAAAGAGCCACCTGCAGTTTTCTCCATGTCTGCTGGGTGATATCTACATAAAGGCAAAGACTACTTGATTCAATCAATGGGGGGTTCTATTTTCATATCGGCTTCCATGTTCAATCCTCCGTCGAGCAAGCACGATACTGATCGGTACCCCTGACGAAAGCGAGAAACCCAGATGCCTGGTATCCCGAGCGCCTATACTTTTTGTATCATAGGCAGAACGTGTGTGACATTATTGTCTATCTGCAATTGTGTCAAGGTTTTATGGATAGCAATTACATATGTCTCCAGTATCCAGCAATATAAGCATAAGGTTGTACATCCCATTCGACCACCAAGCGCGGACATAATCCTTCAAATTGAGGTCTCACCAGAGGCCGACCTATTAGAGTTGATAGGGCATAAAATTATCCACAATTTTGTTCCATCGTCATTATTTGTTTCTGCTCTCAGACTCTACAAGGCAGAATCATAAAATTATGTTCTCCATATGGCCTCTAATGTAGCCGCCCGGGGTAGTTAGCTCAGTGTCAATTATATTTTTATCGTCCATCGTCGTCGTCGTCGTTGACAGATCAGCTGATGACTTTCCGTATGATGATATATTGACTCCTCAACCGAAGGATTCTCATTTAGAAACATGAGGGGACGAGTTGAGCAGCGGTGTGGGTGTCCAGGTCAACCATGATGAAGATGGACGAGGGGACTGATTGGAGAAATAATTCTTATCGGATATGCCGTCCTAACAAGTTACAGATACAAATTTCATTACGATTATTAAACCAATGGCTCGTATCACCATGTTCATAGCCTTGCCAATCCAGCCTATTTCCTCCGAGGACATCTAGGGGAGGCTTGGCTGATTATCATCTCATGAGATTGGTAGCCTGGCCGACCGACGCCGAAATTCGCTCCCGCGGACAAACTAAAAGTCTCAGGAGACGAAGTTCAGCTCAGCCTGGAAATTTGGGTGATTATCAACGGGTAAGAAAATGTCGTAAGTCGACGAATAAACTAATGATCCCTTCTGGTCTCCTCAATGGTGAGGAGTACTGACATTGCTGACCCCACCGCGGGTAAACTTCATCGAGATCCTTTTGCTTCAGACTTGTCTCCTTTTCTTAAAGAAAAGAGGATCTCAACTTTTCAGAAGATGGTCATAGAGCGACCGGGCTACATCATTGATATTAATCAACGGAGGAACCAAGGATAACTCAACTTGGAACTGGAACTTAACAAGGCTACTCGGTCAACTACTTTCAGGGCTAGGGAGGAAAATCATATACATCTATAATGTATATATGTGTATATGTGTATATGTATATCCACCATTCACAGCAATTGACTCGTCAATGTCACGAGAATAAATTCCTATTTCGAAACAAAGTCTGGATCTGGCCAGTTCAACGTTTTGATAGCCTTGTCAAGTTTGCTCGTTTTGTTTGTATTCTCCACATTGAACTCTCGAGCCTTGTTGTATACCAATTGAATATCGCCCCCCCTTGTCTATTCCGTACACTGTACCGTATACTTTTGAGAGACGAAACAAGAACCTTGAAAACAGGCCAGATTTTCAAGGAATCAAGATTTTGTTCTAAATGCTCCGAGAGTAGGAACCTTGTATCAAATTATCTCCATCTTTAATATTTTACTTCTTCGATTCTCACTCCAGATTTCGATTCCCGGGCAAGCAATTGATGTCATTGGCAAGTTCTCGTAAAGTATCCGTCTCCAATTTCTGGAAGCGACGGTTATGTTTTGTACAAACATTGATTTTCTATGAGGGTATTCCTAAACAAAAGGAGATGAAAACTTTGACAACACAGAGCTTTTATATTTTTTTTTTCGCTCTCTCAATCCGACATGTGGTCTCATATCAGATATGAGCAATCATCATCGATCCGTTATCAAAAATAAACATGGCAAGGATATCGAGGCGAGCTGAGAGACAATCTTCCTCCTCTACCAATAACGTTCCT